AATTTATATGTAAATAAAATTTTAACTTCTTTAAGTTTTTAGAATATTTTCGTTTTAATGAAACGTACTCTGTCTAACGAAATTGATACTGGCTCAGAGCAAATATTTGAAATAATAACTTTCTGCCGCGAACACTTCATATTTTATTTTGTTGTCATTAAGGGTGTATTAAATACGCCTCAACGCAATTAGGATCAAGGGGCGACGCGATATGCAATTTATAAACTGATTATGAAGAAATAAAAGTTCAGAAATTCTTAATTATTAATTATTTTACCTGCATAAAATGAACTAATTTTGCATAGTGATTTGTTCCAAAGTAGAAAAATATATTCGTTCATTTTTTATGCCTTTTGCCTCAGCTGTTACGCATTTTTTAGATCATTACATTTGCCTGATCTTGTGCTTCTTGTCAATCTATCTATGTACCTGTATATGCATATATACAGTAAATATTTTAAATATAAATGCAAAATAGCATTTAGAGCTAAATACAGTTTAATGAATGTTTTTCTTTGCCTTGGCGACAGTCGGGAGCCAGAAAACGGTGGACGGAGTAGTAGAGAGCAATCAGAAGTCGACAGATCTTATTTTGCCTTTAAGGCACACCAAATTGGTAGAATGACCCTCTCAATGTAGCCGATTGGAAGTAATTTGTTATCTTGTCTGAAATATAATTAAAACCTCATTGTCTACTGCAAACCCTTCGAAGTGAGAACCAGATTCATAGCGGCAAAGGAAACTGTGGATGACGGTGAATGAATGGAGTATCGCTCATTTCACTAGCATAATGACGAATTGATATCTGTGACAATGCAATTCAAAGTTGTGCTACACGTCGTCGGTAGAAGTGAGGTTTCTTCGAAAACTGCTTGTGTAACGAGAGACTCAGTAAAATCTCGATAGACTCGACATGAGATGCTCTTTCTCCAAATCTAGAGATCACATGACTAAGTCGTTAGGAGCAATGATTTGGCTAAGCCATCGAGATGCTGGACCAAGGGCAGACAGCGAATGGGATGGAACGGCTCGATTCCCGAAAAGGCCTACAATTGTTGCGCCTTCGAATCGACACCCGGAACTTGCAGTTTTACTGATGTACATGGACCATAGGAAAGGCTTTCATTTGAGGCATTTGGCTTCTGATCAGACGGGAATAGCAGATTTCAGAAAATCAGAAAATCATCTAGTTTTGTTCGTGTCAGAGCATGTTCTTCTTTGGCTCGATTCAGAGACGGATTCTCGTGTCCCTTGCACTGCAGATGCATAACTATCATGGAATCGTGTCCTGTTAAAACGGTACCCCATGCGACTAGAAGACAGAAGGCATTGCAATATTCCGTTAAGCCTTGTATCCGGTCCAATGAATTCCGTTTAACTTACACTACCACCATATCGGTGTAAAGTAGGTAACTTTGATTTGCCGTCTTCGCCATGTAAATCCCATGGCAGCGTTAAGAAGATCAATGTAACCATGTTGCTAAACCTTAAAACGATGAAGAGCAATTGCAACTGGTGTTTGTATTTTGGCTGAAAGTCTTTGCTGAATACATTCGTCAACATTAATTCATATTTGCCATT